ATAAAATAGTATTTAAAAACTCACACAGTTATAAACAAAATGAGAGCTCTTATATCCTAGTGGGTAGGGAGTTGTGATGGCAAACATAGGTGAGGGGTTTAACTCCACCAGATGCTCCACTGGAGCAAGACCGATGATCTCTTCCCATGAGATCTCTTCCCATGAGACCAGATGGTCCCTGAAAACCCTCTGGAAGATAAGCTATGAGTCAGTTCTGAGTCAAAAACAATGAAAAAGAAAGAGCACAAACAAAAGCAAAAGGTCACTACAAAGATGCAAAAGAAAAAAAAAATGGGAGAGAGAAGACAATATGTACTAAGACACAAAATTAGAAAACAAAAGGGAAATACCAGGCTCAGCATGTCTCAAGGTGAGACTAAAAAATTCGCTGTAGTCAAGGTTGAATTAGACTCACAACTGACCCACCTCAATTTTCCAAGGCAGCAGCAACGTCACTGTACCAAAAATAATTGACTGACAGAACCATTTCAGAAAGTAGTGTATAATCAAGAATCAGTGATACTTGAAGGAAGAAATTCCATTTATACTGAACGTATTGGCAAAAAAAAGGTTAAAGTCACCAGGGGTTGATAGAGTACTAACGGAGGTGCATTAGTACCTCAGACCTAGTACCTGATGTATTCACCAGGAAATCTGAAAGAGCTCTCGGACCCTTGCTTCCAAGATGACCAAGAAAAGGAGAAACACTGGTCGTGCCAAAAAGGGCAGCGGCCACCTGCATCCTATTCTCTGCACGAACTGCGCCTGGTGCATGCCCAAAGACAAGGCAATTAAAAAGTTGTTAATTCGAAATATAGTAGAGGCAGCTGCAGTCAGAAGCATTTCCGAAGTGAGTGTCTTCGATGCCTTTGTGATTCCAAAGTTCTATGTGAAACTGCTCTGCTGTGTGAGTTGTGCCATTCACAGCAAGGTGGTGAGGAACTGTTCTCCTGAAGCCCAGAACGACCGAACACCTCCACCTAGACTTAGACCTACAGGCGCTGCCCCACGACCACCACCAAATTCCGTGGAAGGATTGGATTCCTTAAAGGCTGAAGAAAAAACTCGTCTGAAAATAAAATGGAGATTATACTTAAAAAAAAAAAAAAGAAAGAAATCTGGAAAAGAGTTACCAGGCCAAATGATTGGAAGAGATCCATATTTGTTCCCATTCTCAAGGAAAGTGAACAGAAGGTGTAAATTATCAAACAATATCATTAATATCACATGTAA